GAACCTAATTTGTCCTTAAGGTCATTTTTGACCTTGTGAAACTTAACGGTTTTTTTGGATTAAACAAAACGTTTTTAGCTGATTTATTGTTAATTGTTTAGTATTTGTCATATGTTTTTCTTCACATTTAATACATATTACAGGTTTGTTGTTGTGGTATTTGCCTAGAAATTTGTTGGATATACCACGTTTGTCAGATGCAAGGAACGTAATAGATTTACGTTCTTTGTCGGATAGTTGGTTTGCGCTCAAGGCGCATTCATAAAGGTGATAGAAATTGCTTATTAAAAGTTCCGTGTATTTTGTTATTACCCTTTGGTATATCAGAATGTCTAAACGAAAGACATCCTGAAGTTACACCATTTCGCCTTGGATGACATTCTTCTGTCCTAGTGTAGAGACAAAAATAGCATAGCAGCTGTTCAAGTAACACCACCTTGTTTAGATGCGGCTTGGTTTGCGCTAATGCCATGTGCCAATTGATAAAAAAAATTGGAAATTTTGACTGATGAAACTAAAAATTTTAAATTTCTCGTGGTGAATACGAACGACAGAAGTTAACCTACATAGCTTATGGGGCTAGGTAAAATTTTGGCAACACATAAATATATATGCACAGTATCAAGGCGCATCAATACAAGGTGGTGTTGATTGAACAACTGATTTTATATTTTTGTCTCTTTAACTACTGTAATTTACAGAATTTTTTCTAAACTGAACTTAAATACATATAGCAATAATAAAAATATTTATATATATATTTTTATTTTATTTTTTTTTATCATCAATCTTATTCTAATATACATTAGTAATTATAAAACTGAATATATTAAATTAAGCAAACAGTTGATTATTCGTCCTGTTCAAGTGGCTCAAAATTTAGGCAAACTTGCGTGAGTTGTGCTTTCAATCTATATTCAACGAAAAAGAAATACAAATACAAAAATTCGACAATTGTTTTTAGTTGTAGCGAAGGCATATCAAACAGGTAAATAGTAGCATTAGAGCAAAAACAACATTTGCGTGTATTTTGTTGTTGCTTCTGGTATCGAAAGTGTCAAAAATTGTTCCGATTTTTTTTTTCGAATAAATTGAGATCGGAAAAAATAACGGCCCTTATTATGGTTCACAACTCAACTTAATCAACTTTGTTGAGTTGTGTCTGAGACAACTATTCATTGCTATTGCCGTTCACAACTGTTTTCAGTTGACTGTAGCCATTGAAAAAGTCGGAAATTCGATGAAAATTTTGGTATTTTAATAATATTATGTTATTTCAATGATATTAAAATAATTACAATCAAACAAATGGAAATTAGTTACGAATTATGTTTTACTGATTGCTCGAGGATGCTATTATCAAACACCTGGCAGACAACTATGTTTTCAAAGCTGAGTTGAGTTGTGTCCAACAATACCAATTTACAACTCAACTATCTTCAAAATTGTGAATCAACTATCATAAAAATTGTGAATCATAATAATAATCTTTCTTACCCAGTTGCACGACCCAGTAATCAGCGGTTTAGCTGCTGAGTTGGGCGAACGTTCCAAAAGCTGCTATTCAATTGCTTGTTTTGTATGGACAAGGGTTTCATATGCAAATAGATTTTAACAATTTAGAATTTTTGTGAGAAGAAATTAAAAATATTTGTCATTTTCGAGACCAAATAATTGGAAAAAAAAAAAATCAAATCAGCTGATCTACTGATACAACCTGTTCAATGTGTCTTGGCTGTAGTTTAAAAGAAATATATGTATGTATGTACCTCTGCGCGTCGTTGTACTCATATCTATAAAGCTCGCATAATATATATTGAGAAAATATTTCTTCCCATTTTATATTAGCCTCCGATCCTTGCGATTTGTTAGTAAACGGCTTCACACGCGACACAGATATTAAAGGATCCGACGTAAAATTTTCCAAATTAGTAGCCTCATTTTTAGGCAAACTCTGCGTCCTTTTTTTCACAAGAATTTCATTAGTAAGAGTTTGTTCATTATCCATAGCGCAATCCTCGTCAGGATACATCACTAGCGATGTATAATCTTTTTGTATTTGAGTAGAATCTACCGAGCAAATATTGTACTCCAAATCCCTCTCATCCTGTGGTGGATTCCGCACAGAAGTGTTACTTTGTTTTTCGAAGTCCTTGTTGAAAGAAGTATGAAATTAATGATTAATACAAGATTTAGTAAGCACATATCTACAATGAAGTGTAATCAATAACAAAATTGTCAACCTTTACAATTTTTTTAAGTTTATTCGTTTAGTAAAAACTGCATAGGCAAATATAATTCGAAAGTTGATTTAAATTTGCTTCCCGGATGTAAGCTTTCATTCGCTAGTGCTTTTTACCGCTCTGTTCTGTTTGTGCATATATGTACATCAGGGTGGTCCAAAAATGTGTGTGAAATAGTACAGTCGGAATTTTTATGCTCTCACCCCCTAGGATTGTTGTATACCGAAAACAATAAAATATATAAAGTATTTTTTCCCATACAAAATACATTGAA